GGGCTGGCGGGGCTGGGGCTGGGTTTGGACTAGATGACCTCCAAGGTCCCTTCTTAGTATTGGAAGGGGAACAATATTGATCAGTGTAGTGAATAGCTTACATTGAGGAAGAGACTTATTGATGAAGGAGTTTATTTGCAGCTCAGGATTGAAATACCTGGCGGGTATTACGGAGACCTGGCTGGGCCAAGAGGGGGGGTGCCCCTCGTTGAAATGTGCCCACCAGGTTACCGTGCATTGCACCAGCCGAGAGCCCAGGGTCGGGGTGGGGGGGTGGCGGTTATTATTAAGGAAGGCCTGGAGCCAAGAGAGACCACTGTGCCGCAGACTGCCGGTTGTGAGTCCCTAGGTGTGAAGTGGGGTCATGGGAGGCAGCAGGGCGTGCTGATTGTATACCTGGCTTCCTGCTATGTATCAGCAGCCCTACCCGAGCTTCTCAGTGTGATAGCCGAGATGGCGATTGAGACCCACAGACTGTTGGTCATGGGGGATTTCAATCTGCCATCGGTAGGTGAAGCATCTGAGGTGGCTCGGGAGTTCATGGCCTCCATGACTTCCATGGACCTGACCCAATTAGTTGATGTCCCTACCCACACCGGAGGACACACACTGGACTTAGTTTTCGCCTCCAGCCAGTGGTTGAGTGATCGTGGTTTAGGGGAAATAGTTGTTGAGCCCCTGTCATGGTCAGATCACTCTCTCCTTCGGCTGGCCTTTCCTACCGCTACGCCCCACCACGGGGAGGCGGAACCGGAAGTGACAAAATGGTTCCGCCCCATGTGCCTGATGGACCCCGAGACTTTGACCCGTGGCTCGACTGAGGACCTGGTGGCCGCCTGGAATGGTGCGGCCGCGGGGGCCCTGAACCGGGTCGTGCCTTTGCGGCCTCTCATCCGATGCCGGACTACCTTGGCTTCTTGGTTCTCTGAGGAGCTGAGGGTGATGAAGCGTTGGAAGAGATGCCTAGAGGGTAATTGGAGGACCCGCTCCGAATCTGACCGGACACTGGTAAAGTCCCATTTAAGGACTTACCTAGTGGCGATAAGAACGGCGAAATGAAATTATTTCTCCACTCTTATCGCGTCTGCAGGTAACCGATCTGCCGCCCTGTTTAGGGTGTCCCGCTCCCTCCTTCATCAGAGGGTCCGGGACG